ACGGCCTGGGGGCTGGATCTGGCCTGTGAAGCCACCAGATCTGGCCCGCGGGATCCGTAGGCACACAGCTGCCATGGGCAGGTTTAAAGCACAGTACATGCTGCTCTCGGCTCTGAAGGCAGGGGGAGACTTTGTGTAATCTCCCTTCCTCCAGCCCAATCCTCAGCTCCTATTGGCCAGAAACAACTGGCCAATAGGAGTTGACTCCGGCCAATTGACTCCGGCCAATTTCTCAGCTCCTATTGGCTGGAAACAACCAGCCAATAGGAGCTGAGAGTTTGGCCTGGGGGATGGGGACATCGCAAGCCTCTTCCCCCCCATTGGGAGCTGAAAGCCACATGGCGGGAATAGCCTGCAGCTCTAAGTGATCTGGAGCTGCAACAGGTAGGGAGCCCAGCCTGTCGTGGGAGTGCTGCAGGGCTGCTGGCCAGGAGACACTTATGTAAGCACCTCCCAGCCAGAGCCTGCCTCTGGCACCCCTATCCCTCCCGCACCCCAACTCCCTGCCCCAGGTCACCATCCAAACCCTCCGCATCCCCTGCCCCAGGTCACAACTCCCTCCCAGACCGTGTACCCCTGTCTACACTCCTCCCCCAGGCCAGAATCCTCGCCTGCACCCAAACTCCCTCACAGACCCCACACCATCTCCTGCACCCTAGTCCCTTACCCTGTGCACTCTTCTGTACCCTGCCTCCATCTTAGACCTCGCACCTTCTCTACAGAAAAGTGCGGCCCTTGACCACTTACTAAAATCTTGGAGTGGCCCCCCCCCCCCAACAATTATTTCTGTACCCTGCCTCCATCTTAGACCTCGCACCTTCTCTACAGAAAAGTGCGGCCCTTGACCACTTACTAAAATCTTGGAGTGGCCCCCCCCCACCAAAAATTATTGCCCACCCCTGGTCTAGATCATCCCTGACAGGTGTCTGTTTAACCTGCTCTTAAATATCTCCAGTGATGGAGAGTCCACGCCCCTCCGCCCCATGCAATTTATCCCACTGCTTAACCACCCTGGCATTTAGCGAGTTTTTCTAATGTCCAGCCTAAACCTCCCTTGCAGCAATTTAAGCCCTTTGTTTCTTGTCCTATCCTCAGAGGCCAAGGAGAACAATTTTTCTCCCTCCTCCTTATAACACCCTTTTAGATATTTGAAAACCGCTATCATGTCCCCTCTCATTCTTCTCTTTTCTCAGCTAAACAAGCCCAGTTCTTTGTCTTCCCTCAGAGCTCATGTTCTCTAGACCTTTAATCATTTCTGTTGCTCTTCTCTGGACCCTCTCCAATTTCTCCACATCTTTCTTGAAATGCGGTGCCCAGAACTGGACACAACACTCCAACTGAGGCCTAATCAGCGCTGAGTAGAGCGGAAGAATGGACTCCTCATGTCTTGCTTACAGCACTCCTGTGAATGCAGCCCAGAATCATGTTTGATGTGTTTGCAACAGTGTCACATTGTTGACTCATGTTTAACTTGTGGTTCGCTCTGACCCCTGAATCCGTTTCTGTAGTACTCCTTCCTAGACAGTTGCTTCCCATTCTGTATGGGTATGTCTGCACAGTGTAGTTATTTTGAAATAACAACAGTTATTTCAGAATAACTTTCCTAGCGTCTACACAGCCATTCCGTTATTTCGAAATTAATTTGAAATAGCGGAGGGCTTATTTCGAAATTGGTAAACCTCATTCCACGAGGAATAGCGCCAATTTTGAAATTGTTATTTTGAAATAAGCGCTGTGTAGATGCTTATTTCGAAATAGGGGGCCTCCAGCTCTTCCCAGGGTGCCCTGCTGGCTGCCCTGGGCACAAGGCAGCTTCTGACCTGATGCCCTGCTGGAACTGGTTCCAACCAGCCTTAAGTGCGATTCAATGTCCACTCAGTGTGGACGCGCTATTTCAAAATAGAAAAATGCTGCTTCAAAATGCACTTTGTGTGTAGACCTGTTATTTCGAAATAAGCTATTTCGAATTAACTATTTCGAAATTAGATATTTCGAAATAACACTGTAGGGTAGACATACGCTATGTGTGACACGGATTGCTCCTTCCTAAGTGGAGCACTTTGCATTGGATCATTGACCTTGGGCTATGTCTCTGTACATAGGGCGAATTTCACCTTGGCTGACTAATCTTAGGAAAGATGTTTGTCCCCCACATCTCTGGAAGTGTGGTGAGGTAAATGTGGCAAGAAAGGGAGACGTGGAGCTTTCATGGCAGTACCCACTGAGCTTCTGCTTGGAAAATGCATGTGTAGTGCGCGTCCCTCGCTAAATATCCTTTCTTTAGTCAAAAATATTTCCTGTCCGCAAATCATGTTCTGACTTAGGGCTATACATTAGGGAATTGCCTCCCAGCCAGAGCCTGCCTCTGGCACCTCCCCTCCCGCACCCCAACTCCCTCCCCCAGGTCACCATCCAAACCCTCTGCACTCCCCTGCCCCAGGTCACAACCCTGTTGTCTGTCTGTCTTCCTCGTCACTGCTGCAGGTTGCAATTGGATTTGGATCTTAGCAGCAATACGGAGGATTTTACAGCTCTGCCTTTTGAAGTGTAACTGCAGTGTATAAACTCGGCTATTCAAGCATGCATTTCAGGGGCCGCATTCTGGATGCCAGGATATTGCTCTCGTCTGATAAATGATTTTAAGTCTCATCTGAGCCGCGTGGGGCGAGAGGGGAAGCATTTCCTGTTAGAACCCTATGAAAAGTAAGAAATGCTTGTGACTTTGGTGAGCCGAGCTGCAATTCGAACCATTCTGGCTTCTGCCGCTGAGAAATCTGGGCCCCAGGCTGGCGTGTGTAGGCATTGCTGCCGTACGAAATAAGAATCTTTGGAATGGTGCTGCCGGAAACACTCATCACTCTTGTCTCTCTGACTGAAGCATTGCTGATCACTAACCCTGCCTGATGGAGAGATCTCCAGACCACTCCACAGCCAGGCAGATGGAAACGGATGCAGCTCATTTGAACTGTATGTGCACGTATACTGCAATTTCCAGTCATCTCTACAGCTGAAGAGCTTGAGTGTTTAGAGAGAGAGAATAATCGTTATATTTTGCGCTTGAGCATCTGAACACTCTTTGCAAAACATTAATATAGAGTGCAAAGATATGGCTTCTTGTGTTTTCACTTACCCGGTGAGGCACGGGGGTGGGGGGAGCTATCACGTCTAGCCCCAAGCACCTAGTGCAAGTATCAGGTGGGGAGTTTGACTGGGGCGGTACACCTGTCAAATTGTAATGCAGGTGTCCTACGGCGAGCTCAGGGAGGACAGAAACCTCCCGTGGAGCAGAAAGGCAAAAGCTCGCTTGATCTTGATTTCCAATATGAATACAGACCAGGAAAGCAAGGCCTCATGATCCTTCTGACTTTTTGGGTTTTAAGAAGGAGGTGTTAGAAAAGTTACCACAGAGATAACTGGCTTGTGGCGGCCAAGCGTTCATAGCGATGTCGCTTTTTGATCCTTCGATGTCGGCTCTTCCTATCATTATGAAGCAGAATTCACCAAACGTTGGGTTGTTCACCTACTAATAGGGCTAGATCGCTGGGGCTAGACTGTCGTGAGATAGTGGAGAAGGGTTCCATGTGAACAGCAGTTGAACGTGGGTCGGTCAGTCCTGAGAGAGAGGCGAGTGCCATTCCAAAGGGCTGGGCGATGGCCTCTATTGCCCTCAGCCGACCGAAATGGAATAATTTGCCATTCCTGGCTGGCGGGAGGGGGTGGGCTCAAGTCCGGCACCCTTAGGACTTGACCAGAGAATTTGTTGGACCATGGGAGGTCGATATTGTCTAGCAGCATTGCCAACCCTTCCACTGCTCACTGGGCTGCAAGAAGACTGTTAGGGGTAAATTAGAGCTAAAGAAAGGCACAGAACACTGAGAGCCAGCACTGGTGGCTGTAAACAAACTTTAAGGGACTTGGGAAACTTGGCCACACCCAAGAGAAGTGGCCATCCAGCTAACTAAAATCATGCCAGACCACAGATGTTGCCAGACCTGACGGTGCCGGAGTAGAGAGGTTCAATCCATAGTGCGTGGAAGGATGTGACAGTGGCCCTGAAAAGCTGTCCTCAGAAACACACTATATTTTGGGGCACACACTTTCAAATGGGTCTGCAAGGCTGCTGGTTGGGCAGCTTTCCCCGGAGCTTATTTCATGCTATGTACAAAGTGAGTGACAAGGAGAAAGACGGAACGATCCCCAGCACATGTTGATAACACGGGGGCTATTCCAGCTTTTGCATTTCACCCCTGGGCTGGAATTCATTTGGATCAACAAAGCCCCAGCACTTTCTTCCAAATGTGCAGGATTTGTTTGCAAAGAGCCGTCACCACACGGGCCTGGTCGCAGCGTATTACAACAATTAACGCAGAGCATGGTAAACAGCCAGGGCCTTCTGGTTCAGGGGAGCCTCTGAGGAAACAAACAAGTGTCCAGGTCCCTTAAAGGGCAGGAAGGGGACATTGTGTTTTTAAGTGGCTAGACCTGCTCATCAGTAGCTCCTCCAGTTCATAGAATCACAGAAACCTAGGGTTGGAAGAGACGTCTGGAGTCATCGAGTTCAGCCCCTTGCCCAAGCAGGACCAACCCCAACTAAATCATCCCAGCCAGGGTTTTGTCAAACTGGGACTTAAAAGCCTCTAAAGTTGGAGATGCCACCACTTCCCTAGGGAACCCAACCCAGTGCTTCCCCACCCTCCTAGGGAAAGTGTTTTTCCTAATAGCTTAGGATCTCCCCCCCCCATTGCAACTTGAGTCTATTGCTCCTCATTCTGTCTCGTTACTGAAAATCCCCTCTCCTTGATTAACCAGCCCAGCTCCGTTCTTTAGTTGGTTACAATCATGGATCTGATGAGCTGGATGGTTTTCTTTTGCCAGCCTTCGCCACGCTCACAAAACAGACTCGGGTTGTTTTACACCGAGTGATTAAAACCGGCTCAGTGCCAGGGCCATCGCTGGCTCCTGACAGTGCTCCTCATGCTTTAATTTCCTTCCCTTCACAGCCCCTGCAGAGTTCGTGCAGCATCCTCAGTCCATTTCCAGACCTGTCGGGACGACTGCCATCTTCACCTGCCTGGCCCAGGGAGAGCCGCCCCCTCAGGTCACCTGGCTGAAGAACGGGCAGATCCTAGAACCTACTGGTCACATCAAACTGAAGAACAACAACAGGTAAGTCAGCTGGCTACGGATTTCCATCTTGTTGAGTTGGGTGTAGGAACGACTGAAAGGTCAGTGTTGACGGGAAACATATAGTCGGAGTCTGATATTGCACGGGTGTAAATCAGGAGTAATGCTACTGAATTCAATATATTACATTGGTGTGAGGAGCAGAAATCTTATGTGTCGGGAATTTCACCAACCGCTAATCGTTTTTGGGAAGTGTGCTGTCGGATTATTTAGATACAGACTCAGGATCAATACGGGCAGCAGGGCAAATTATTTTCACCTGCCCGTTCCCTTTTGAAGAGCAGGTTGTTGAGGCTACTTTGCTGCGAAAGCATAATCCCTTCCTTTTTAACTGAGGTGGTGGAAGTCTCCGTGAGTAATAGTGAATGACAAGCTTTTGCAGTGACTTTTGGGGACAGAGGCTGACCATATTTATCCTGTGCACTAGGGATATGAAGGGGTAATCGGTTCCCTAGTTACACGGGAACAGAACCGCCGGGGCCAGCTCACCCCGTGCAGCTGGTACCTGGGCGCCGGCAGCCAGCCCTGCGCGAGGCTGGGAATGGGAGCCTTGCTGGTTGGCGGTTGCTCCAGCTGCGATGGAGCTGTCCCCCACCTGGGATCCTGCTTAATCTGTTAACCGGTTAAACACTAGGTTAACCTAACATTTAACTGGTTAACTGATTAACCAGGATTGTACGTCCCTACTGTGCATTGGCATATCTGTGTCCTAAAATGCCTCCCTGCTGCTGGTCGTTAGATAAATGAGTATTTTCAAGATTTGGAGAGCAAAAGTTCTATCACAGCGTGAGGCTGGAGCAGACATGGGGCACTTTCACACGTGCTCCCCGAACAAGGGGGCATTTGTAGCAAAAGACTCTATGTTTTGCCTTACCAGAGGAAGCAGAACTGAGGGCCTTTATTAGTGACGATCAGGGCTCCAGTTGGGGGGAAGTTTCTACACTTTGTCAAACTCTTCAGAGTAAAAACCGTCTTAGCTTAAATAATTGCACAGCTCACAGCATAAGAGAATCCACTTTTAAAGTACAGTATAAACATGGTGTCCAATCTGGAAAAAAAAGACGTTACGGAACTTGCTTCGGGGAGTTTCCATGTTTGCTGCTTCTCCGTGATTCCGACCCCTGGTTTGCTCCGTTCATTAATAAAAAGATGTTTTTATTACCACCCGGCCTGCAAACCCAGTAAAGATCTGAGAGCCAGCTTGGGTTCTTGGCTTGTGTGTAATTACCATAAACACGATGCTGTAGGCCAACTGCTGTTCTCGGTGACTTCTTTGCAACTCTGTTCATCTCAGATTCTGGCTTCAACTGCACTTTTGCAGTGTTGTTGCCTTTGGGGAGATGGCATGGGTGTAACTACAGGATGAACCTCTCTAGTCCAGCACTCTCTGGTCCGGCATGATTTTACTTAGCCAGATGTCCACTTATCATGGATGTGGCCAAGTTTCCCATGGTCCCATAAAGTTTGTTGGCTGTCAGTCCTGGCTCTGAGCGTTCTGTGCTGTTCTTTAGCTTTAATGTACCCCAATACCAATATTTCCATTGGTTCTGCAGAGCTTATGGGAGAAAAAAAACAATCATTGAAGTAAGCAAAGGTTACTCTGAATACACACTGAGAGCAGCTCTGAAGAACTCTGAGCAACTGGAAAGCTCATCTCTTTCATCAAGCAAAGTTGGTCCAGTAAAAGCTCTTTTTACACGAGGGCTGTGTCTACACTGGCATGAATTTCCGGAAATGCTTAAAACGGAATACTATTCCGTTTTCAGTTTTTCCGGAAAAGGAGCGTCTACATTGGCAGGCTGCTTTTCCGGAAAAGCCATTTTCCGGAAAAGCGTCTGTGGCCAATGTAGACGTGCTTTTCCGGAAAAGAGCCCCGATCGCCATTTTCGCGATTGGGGCTTTTTTCCGGAAAAGACTACTGGGCTGTCTACACTGGCCCTTTTCCGGAACAGTGTTCCGGAATAAGGACTTATGCCCGAGCGGGAGCAGAATAGTTTTTCTGGAATAGCAGCTGATTTTGTACAGTAGAGCATCGTTGCTTTTCCGGAAATTCAAGGGCCAGTGTAGACAGCTCGCAGCTTATTCCAGAAAAGCGGCTGATTTTCTGGAATAAGTGGCCCAGTGTAGACACAGCCAGTCAGTTCCCAGAATACAACCACACTTCCATCTGCCCCTTTCTATCCAAGTTCAAATGTTCATGTGGGAACCCGTTTGAGGTAATATTGGCTCGGTAGCAGATTTTCACTACATTTGGGCCTTTTATTTCCCCGAGGAATAGTGTTTTCCACAAGCACTAAATAACTGCATTTCCGTGCTAAAACACAGTTGTGTTTGTGTTGCAGAAATCATATGGCAGGATGCACCCAGTGTGAAAATGATAAGTTTCTATGGAAATATCATGGGACCGCGTCCTGTGAAATAACAGTTGTTATGCCGTACACTAAAATTATCAGCAGAGCTTTATGGTCCCTGGTGTGATAGAACGCTTACCTGTATTCGCTGTATGCAGGAATCCAATGAACACAATATTGGATGAGAAAATTCTCTTCCTTCAGTTTTGTCCATCAGGAGAATGCAGTGGTGGCATTTGTGCCTACTTCCTGGGGAAGCAATGTTTTTGTTTTTCAGAGCTTTCTCATAGGCAGGGGGTATAATCAGCCAGGGGAAATTACCAATGAACTTGGAAAGTGAGAAGCAGACCCTCCCTCCTTGGCTGCCCCAGAATCTGCATGGTGCATAGAAGCAGCTCAGGTTTTTTAGGCAAAGCTGTTGCTTTTTCCACTGGGTGGTTTGGTGTCTCAGGAAGAGACATGGTGTGTTTTCCATGTGGCAGCTTAGGCCAGCTCAGGAGGGCAGGGGCTGGCCCTGCATGGCTGGGGCTAGAAAATTTCAAATCTGAACTAGCCAGGGAATGGAAGCAAGGAAGTAATGTTATCCCCATTTTACAGATCACAGAACTGAGACACAGGGCTCCATAGATTCCAAAGCCGGAAGGGACCATTCTCTGACTTCCAGTAGAACATGGGCCACAGCACTTCCCCCGAATAAGTCCAAGGGCAGATTTTTTTAGAGGAACAGCTAGGCTAATTTAAAAAAAAAAAGTCAGTGAGGAATTAAATTATTCCACGGGTGAATTAGTCTCACCATTAAAAAATTGTGCCTTATTTCTATTCAGAACTTTTCTGGCTTCAGCCTCCGCCCACTGGACTGCGTTAGACTTTCTTTGCTAGACTGAAGAACCCGTTATCGAATATTGGTTCCTCCTGTACATACTTGCAGACTGCAATCAAGTCACCCCTCCCCCTGCCCTTTGTTAAGATAAGGAGATTGAGCTGCTTAAATCTGTCACTATGAGGGAGGTTTTCTAATCCCTTCCTTGTATTGGTGGCTCTGCTCTGAACTGGCTGCAATTTACCAACATCCTCCTTTAATGATGGGCACCAGAACTGAACACAATAGTGCCAAATACATAGGTACAATCACCTCTTTACTACTTGAGACTCCCCTATGTATGCAGCCCAGGATCGCATTAGCTCTTGGAGCCACAGCCTGGGGAACTCATGGTCTGCTGATTATCCACCGTGGCTCCCAACTTTTTTTCAGAGAAACTAAGGTTACGGCTACACTGCAGCTAGAGGGGTATCTACTAGTGATGTTAAAATGCGTGTAATTGACTAACTGTATAACTGCTTAGAATCCCAGCGGTTCCACAGTTACACGCAGGGTGGCAGCCAGCTCCCTGGGGGCCGGTGCACACTGGGAACCATCTTTTAAGCCTGCTCCTTGTGTGTGCCAGCTCCCGCCTGCCACTCCATGCTGTATCAGAGGCAGCAGCACAGGGTGGCGGACAGCTCACTGGGAACCGGACTGGTTACCCATTTAAACAGCTACACTCTTAGGGTATGTCTAGACTGCATCCCTCTGTTGGCAGAGGGATGCAGATTAGGCAGGTCAACATTGCAAAAGAGGCAGGGATTTAACTATCCTGCACCTAATTTGCATAAAAATGGCCGCCACGTTTTGCCGACAAAAAGTGGCAGTCTAGAGGGGGATCTGTCGAGAAAGAAAGCTTTTTTGATAGTTCCTGTAAACCTCCTTGCAGGAGACATAAGGGATCTGTCGAAAAAGGCTTTTTCAACAGATCCCCTCTAGATTGCCACTTTTTGCTGACAAAGTGCTGAGTCAGCAAAATGCAGTGGCCATTTTTATGCAAATTAGGTACGGGATATTTAAATCCCTGCCTCATTTGCAACGTCGACCTGCCTAATTTGCATCCTTCTGCTGACACAGGGAAGCAGTCTAGACATAGCCTTAGATCCTTAGTATCTACAACATGTGGAGACATAACTGAGCTCCCTTTGATCTAGCTGGCGTGAGTAGCCACAGCCGTGAAGCCGGATCAGCACGGCTGTCCTAGCCCATTTGGGACTCTGGGCAGGCTCACACACAGCTAGGCTGGTGGCTGCAGGGTCCCTGCTGTTGTTAGTTGAGCTGTGTAGACCAAAGTGAACTCATAGATGCCTACACCTGCTGAGATCATGCCTCTGATTGCAGTGGAGAAATAGGCTAAGGGTTTGCCTAAGAGACTCTGGACAGTGAATCCAGTTCTTCTTCTAGCCCAGCGCCTTCCCCACGAGAGCATCCTTCCTCTCCACCTGAGGAAGACGGTTTGATCTGAGGAAGTGGGTCTAGCCCACGAAAGCTCATCATCTAATAAACCATCTTGTTAGTCTTTAAAGTGCTACATAGTCCTGTATTTTGCTTCGGTTAGTACCCAGTGCTTGGAGAAACTCCAGTCTTTGGAGAGAGCCACCTCTTTTGGAATCAGTGTGGCTGACATGAGCATGCAACTCTGGGAGATGCAAAGAACAGGACCCGCCTGAGGGAATTTCCAAAGCCACTGATCCGAGAAATGCAATTGCGAGCGGATTGACGGAGCAGCTGAGTGCTGGGGCAAAGGATGAACCGGAGTAAAGATGGCA